TGGGACTTCTACGTGGAATCTCTCATTACCTACACAGTATTATTGTGTTTTATTCTTAATATGCTGTGTTTGTTACTGAAACAAGAACTTCAGATAAATTAGATTTCTTGATCTTATATAGTGTCTACTAAACGTTGGATTTGTCTGTTTTAGTTTTATAAAGGGTGGTGCCTAGCGCGACGCAGCATAGGGATTTATAATCAATTACTAGCTCTCTTAATTATCAAAAGTCGAAATGCGTTTTTTAGAGGAAAAAATACTGCATCTGTTATACTATCTCTGCGGCGGTTTTCTTAACTTGCTCGCAATTTATCGTTATTTTGGTAAAGGTTTCCTAACAAACTGAACGTAGGTACGCCATTTTGCCGTGGATGTTTCCCTTTACAAAATAACAGTAATTTTTCAGGTTCGTGTCGGTGTGAAAAATCTTCTTTTTCTCTCTTCAAAGTACTTAGGACTTACCTTCTGTACCTCTTTAACCCGCTAGCTCAGATAATAACATGGGTGCAAATAGGAAGATAATTCGTTCTATTCTAGCTCACGGTATAACATTCATTAATCATAAAAACGTAACCAAAATTTGGAAGAATGTTGTTTTGACGTTACTACTCTCATATGCTTCCGAGATTGGTATGTAAATGCAACAATTTGGGTTTCCTTTATACGCAAACTTCTTGACCTCCTTGAGAAATTACAGAGAATTAACATTAATTATCTTTAATACCTTTAATTGAAAGTCAATGGATTTAAAACATATAAATATCTCCGCCCTTAAAAGAACGGTAAAGCTTAATAATCAAAAATAACGGACATTTCCTTTAACTGGTACCTTAATCAAATTTAACTGTTATACAATCCCCTAAAATACATAAAGCCCCAAAAGTCAAATATAAAATTGTTCAGATCGATCAAAAATACGCAAACTTCACGATTTAATCAAGTTTATCAAATATAAAACTGCAAATTCTACCTTAATTCATCTCGGTAATGGCGTTGCTTCTTATCTAATCGCCTTACATCCGCTGGGAACAGGTTGGTGACCTCGCATTCCAGGCGTTCGGTTTTGTCGTTACAGGAAATCAAACTGGTGGTGGTGGACTGCCAAATTTCCCAAATCTAATCTTCTCAAGGTGGAAATACCCAAAAATACTCGCTGGCGGAAAACAATACGCCGGCGGGAAAAACTAACGCTGCATAGGCTCCTCTTCCAGGCTGGGAAACAAACTACGTTGGCACGCAGACCCCAAATTCCACTCTTAGATAACGATGTGGGTGTAAAATATCTCGATAACTTTATTTAGGTACGCTACATCAACTTTAAAACGTTCGGCGACGTCACACTACCACTTTTGACATTTTGTTGAGTATTGAAATCGTAGTACGCTAACTGCGTATACCGCGTACTGCAAATTTCCAGACACTAATCACCACCTTTACTACTCGATGGTTGAACGCCGACTCTCTGCACTTTTACTCCGCATAAAAATTCCCCTCGCACCGTATAAATCGCATTCATATAAAAATGAAACAAAAGCACTTTAAAAATAGAATCTGTCCTTTGCACTTTATATCTAAGTTACATTGTAATCAAAAAATTCTTTCTAGGACGTAAAGAATGTGTAAATTTGGTTTTTAAAAACTCCAACCCATTACAGTACCCCCTCCTTGTTTTTGATACAACTGGTCTGTTGAATCGAAAACAACATACTAAGAGTTAAAAGCAAAACATTCATATAAAAAAATCAAACTTATTTACAAAATATATATACAGTGAAAATAGAATTTTCAAAATTGATAACAAAGGATCTCAGGTATTAGGTTTGGTTAGGTATGGTATAGGTTGCTACCGGTAAGTTTATGGTACTACTGGGTGGTTCTGATACCCTATACTTCTTTAAATTTACGACATTGTGTACTCCTCTGTTTTCGTCTCTCGTTGGATATTTCAAAAGGTAAGCATTTGTTCCCATTTCTTTCACTATTCCATAAGGGCCTTCATATAACAGGAAAAATTTCTTTATTTCATGGCTGAGCGATGAAGACTGATGATGTGTCTTGAGTAACACCAAATCTCCGGGATAATATTTAACAGGTTCCTTAACTTGTTTATCATGCTTTCCCTTTCTTTGTTCAGCTCGACTTTGAAGTCTCTCCCTAGCAAAAATGATCTTTGTTTCTATATCTGGGTCTGTACGCACTGGAAATTCTACTAGACTCTCAATAATATGGTTACATCTTTGACCTTTTAACAATTCTACTGGTGTGAAACCAGTACTGTCATGTTCCGACATGTTTATCCATTTTTCAATTTGGGTTACCCATTTACTCCAGTTGGTATGCTTTTCGTTACAGTAGGTTCTGAATAATCTTCCCAGTTCCCTCATAATTCTTTCTACTGGATTGGACGCTGGATGGTACACTGAAGTCATTTTTACTTGTATATTATTATTCCTTAATTCTTCTTGCCATCTCCTGGAAGTGAATTGACTGCCGTGGTCTGACAATATCATTTTTGGTTGGCCTACGTTGGGTATAAAATCATTCAAAGTTTTATTTAGCAGAGTTCTTGTGTTTGCTTTCTTGATTGGATACAATTTCACGTATTTCGTAAAAATATCCGCCATTACATAGATATATTCTACTCCTCCCGCTGCCCTTGGTAATGGTCCGAACAAATCAACTGATACCATCTCTAATGGTTTTTCTACCAGTACATTCTGCATCAGGGCTTCTTGTTTTTGATTGGTGACTTTAGCTTTTTGGCAGATGTCACAGGATGATACATATTTTCTTACTTTCTTGCCTAAATTGGGAATATAACAATTTTCTTTTATAGCTGCTACTATTTTCTGCGTTCCAAAATGACCTAGCATCTCATGGTAAGTTTTTATAAGTTCCCTTTCTGTTTTTTCAGGTATGCAGACTATCCACCAGGCCTTTGATCTATTTCCCCTCTTAAAAAGGAGTTCTCCAAAAATATTATAATTTCTTTCTAATTTTTCGCTTTTGTTCTCGTTATTTTCGTCCAGTTCTTTTCTTATCCAACTTAGATGTTTATCTTCTTTTTGCTCCTCTTCTAAATTTTCTAATAATTTCTTTAACTTCCTTTCCTCTTCATTTTTCTTTATTGCTCCTACGATTAAGTTATTGTTGTTTTGGTTGGCCTTCCCATATCTTGATAGAAAATCGGCAATTTTATTCTCGCTTCCTTTGCAATATTTGATTTGTAAATTGAATTCTTGTACTAATAAGGCCCATCGTTGTAATCTTGAACTCAGATGTTTGCAGGTAAAAAGAAACGATAACGCCTTGTGGTCTGTATATAAAATTATCGGGTATCCTAGGATGAGGTTTCTAAACTTGCTACACGCAAAAACTACAGCTAACAATTCTAACTCCGTGATTGTATATCGTTTCTCAACATCCTTCAACGTTCTACTTGCAAAAGCAATATTTAAAATTTCTTCGTTTTCTCCCTCTTGGAAAAGATGAGCTCCCACAGCATTCATTGACGCATCCGTGTATAGAAAAAAGGTTTTTGTGAAGTCAGGAAATTTCAGTATCATATCTTCACTAAAAGCATTCTGTATTTCTTCAAACGCCCTTTGGCTTTCATCCTCCCATATCCATGGTGCATTTTTCTTTAATAATGATGACAATTTGCATACAGTTTCCGAGTAATGATCCTTAAATCTTCGATAGAAGTTGCATACTCCTAAAAAGGATTGAAGTTCTTTCTTGTTTCTTGGTGGTGGACAATTTCTTATACTATTCAATCTAGCTGGATCCATAGTAATCCCTTGATCTTTTTTAATAATATGTCCTAAAAATTTCATTTCGGACTGTAAGAATTTGGACTTCTTAAAATTTACTGTCATGTTGGCCTGTTTTAATTTTGACAATATTTCTCTTAACTGCTCGAAGTGTTCGTTTAGTGTTTTCGACGTTATAAGTATGTCATCCACATATATAGTGGCATAGGATAGTACTTTTGGTCCCAATACGAAGTCTAAGCATCTATTAAATATGGCCACTGACACGTTCAAACCAAATGGTAATACTTTAAAATGATAACTGCGTCCATTTACTAGGAAAGCCGTGTATTTTCTGGAATTCGTATGGAGTGGCACTTGCCAATACCCTGCGGTCAGATCCAACGAACTAATGAATTGTGGGTTTCCAAATTTCTCTAGTGTCTCTTCTAGTACTGGAGGAGCATTTCTATCCTCTTCTATGATTTGATTGAGTCTTCTCGCGTCAAGGCATATTCTAACCGCTCCCTCTTTTTTACTCACGACCACTATAGGATTTGAGAATGGTGAATCTGATCTTTCGATTATATCGTGATCTAGCATCCTCTGTATTTCTTTTTCCACAGCCTCACGTTTAGAAAATGGGATCGGGTAGTTCCTCTGTATAAATGGAGTGGAATTCTTGATTTTTAGTTCAGCTACAAAATTATGTACACGTCCCGGGCGAGTTGAAAATACTCCTTCGACTTCTTCAAATAATTTTTCTAACATTTCTGTCTCTTCTGGGTTCTTATCTTCATCATAAAATTCTATGTGTCTTGATGTGTATCTTCGATAACCATCTTCGTTAAACTTTACATAATAATCGGCCTCATCGTGCATAAATGTCATCTTCTTTTCCTCAACGTAAATAGTGGCCTTTTTCTCAAACATCCAGTCCATTCCCAGAATAGCTGGAGGATTGATTCCTTTAACAATATAAAATCCATAATCATGTTCGCTCTCTCCAACTTCCACAGACATAAGGACTCGTTTCGTCACTTTGGATACTCTTCCATTCACTCCTTGTATGCTTAATCCCTTGGCAGGTAACACTATTACCCCTCTGGGTTCAATTTCTTGGTATAGTTCTTCAGATATAAGGCTTATTTGGCTGCCGGTATCTATTAAAAATTGCTGAGTTACCCCCTCCACCTTTCCTAAGACCATTGGTTTGTATGTGCTTTCTTCTTCCGTTCTACCAATAACTTCTTCTATTTCTGAATCGTCATCTTCACTGGTAATTTCTTGATTATTTGGTAAATGATTTTCTTTGGGTGTTGTATTGGCTTTGCATTGGTTATAATATACTTTTATAAAATTAATTAATTGTTGCTGCTCCTGCTGTTGTTGCTGCTGGCCAAGTGGAGCTCCTTGTCCAGTAGCATCTAGTTTCCCTGGTTGTTTCTTCTTGGCTGATTATCTACAGCTCCTTCATGTTGCCTACGGTCATCATAACTTCTGCTGTATGCTCCATAATTTCCTCTTCTATAATTCACTGGGTTGGCCTCTCTTCTATTGTCTTGTTGATAATTATTTCGGTTTTGATCTCTTCTTTCATACTGTTGTCTATTTTCTCTTCTGTCTTGATTTTCTCGGTTTCGGTTTTGATAAGGTCTTTGATCTTGATCTCTTGTTTCTGGCCTGTTTGAATCTCTTCTCCAATCTCGATTAGTTTCTTGAATTTTTTCTAAAATTTCTGTTAAATTCTTGATCGTTTTTGCTTGGGCCGCATATAGTACCATCTGGATGTCTCTTGGGAAATGATCTACTAGTGCTTCTATTAGCTGATCTTCCTTTATTCTTGGTTCCAGGTGTGCAGTTTTCGATACCCAGTACCACACATGGTCCGTGTAACTTCCATTCCTTGCATTATATAGTCTGGGCGTATTTAGTTGATGCCGGATTTTATTTTGCTTCTCCGTTGACCAAAATTGTTCCAGAAATTCTCTCTTGAATTCTTTAAAATTTCTCCATTCGCTTTGATGTAGGTCGGTCCACGCTTTAGCACATCCCTCCAAATAATCTTCCATTATATTCATTTTCTGTTCTTTGAGATGCATATTCATCCAATAATTCTCTAGGGATTTCAAAAAATTAACCGGGTGCACACTTCGGAAGCTTCCATCAAACTTCTTTGGTTTCAATGTTGTTAATCCCTCAGTTTTGTAAATGATCGTACTCGCATTCTGTGTATTAATCGGTTTTTCTTCTTTTATTTTTTCTTTTATCTCTTCAATTTCTTCTGTGTTTCTTTCCACTTTGTTGTCGAGGTCAGTTATCTTCTGATCAGTTATTTTTTCCTGTTTTGCTATCTGGTGTTCTACTTTCTTGAACTCGTAGTCCACCTGCTGTGTGAAACCAACGTGCTGCTGATGTAAGCCTTCAATTTTCTTTTCATGAATCGTAAATCTTCGTTCGCATTCTTGTTTTTGACCTCTTATTTCGTTTCGTAACTGTTCGATATTCTTTTCTTGAGTTTTGATAATCTGTTCTTGTCCTGCTTCCATTTTGTTTTCTAGATGTGCTTGTCCTGCTTCCATTTTGTTTTCTAGATGTGCTTGTCCTGCTTCCATTTTGTTTTCTAGATGTGCTTGTCCTGCTTTCATTTCTTCTTGTCCTGTTTTCATTTCTTGTTGCATTCCCTGTATTGCTTTCATTAAGATTGACAAATCCATATTTTGTATATGGGCTACTGGAGCTGCTTCTAAAATTTCTTGGCTTTCTTGACTAAAAACGATGTCCTCACTCGCTTGTGTGCCCTCCATTTTGTTTTTCTGTATTGCTCGATCAGCTTTCTTAAACCCGGACCGTAATTCCATAAAATGATTGTAATATTTGATTTTCTTTTTTCTTGTTTCTTAAAAAGTTTCTTCGTTGCTCTGCTGGTATAATTTGCATGAAACTCTTCTTTACAGGCGTTGATGGTTCGAAGCCCACCGATTGGGTGCCATTTGCGGCGGTTTCCTTAACTTGCTCGCAATTTATCGTTATTTTGGTAAAGGTTTCCTAACAAACTGAACGTAGGTACGCCATTTTGCCGTGGATGTTTCCCTTTACAAAATAACAGTAATTTTTCAGGTTCGTGTCGGTGTGAAAAATCTTCTTTTTCTCTCTTCAAAATACTTAGGACTTACCTTCTGTACCTCTTTAACCCGCTAGCTCAGATAATAACATGGGTGCAAATAGGAAGATAATTCGTTCTATTCTAGCTCACGGTATAACATTCATTAATCATAGAAACGTAACCAAAATTTGGAAGAATGTTGTTTTGACGTTACTACTCTCATATGCTTCCGAGATTGGTATGTAAATGCAACAATTTGGGTTTCCTTTATACGCAAACTTCTTGACCTCCTTGAGAAATTACAGAGAATTAACATTAATTATCTTTAATACCTTTAATTGAAAGTCAATGGATTTAAAACATATAAATATCTCCGCCCTTAAAAGAACGGTAAAGCTTAATAATCAAAAATAACGGACATTTCCTTTAACTGGTACCTTAATCAAATTTAACTGTTATACAATCCCCTAAAATACATAAAGCCCCAAAAGTCAAATATAAAATTGTTCAGATCGATCAAAAATACGCAAACTTCACGATTTAATCAAGTTTATCAAATATAAAACTGCAAATTCTACCTTAATTCATCTCGGTAATGGCGTTGCTTCTTATCTAATCGCCTTACATCCGCTGGGAACAGGTTGGTGACCTCGCATTCCAGGCGTTCGCTTTTGTCGTTACAGGAAATCAAACTGGTGGTGGTGGACTGCCAAATTTCCCAAATCTAATCTTCTCAAGGTGGAAATACCCAAAAATACTCGCTGGCGGAAAACAATACGCCGGCGGGAAAAACTAACGCTGCATAGGCTCCTCTTCCAGGCTGGGAAACAAACTACGTTGGCACGCAGACCCCAAATTCCACTCTTAGATAACGATGTGGGTGTAAAATATCTCGATAACTTTATTTAGGTACGCTACATCAACTTTAAAACGTTCGGCGACGTCACACTACCACTTTTGACATTTTGTTGAGTATTGAAATCGTAGTACGCTAACTGCGTATACCGCGTACTGCAAATTTCCAGACACTAATCACCACCTTTACTACTCGATGGTTGAACGCCGACTCTCTGCACTTTTACTCCGCATAAAAATTCCCCTCGCACCGTATAAATCGCATTCATATAAAAATGAAACAAAAGCACTTTAAAAATAGAATCTGTCCTTTGCACTTTATATCTAAGTTACATTGTAATCAAAAAATTCTTTCTAGGACGTAAAGAATGTGTAAATTTAGTTTTTAAAAACTCCAACCCATTACATCTCCTACTTATAATTTTTTATTATACCTGAATCACAATCTCCGTTTTAAACACTCAAATGCGTGCGAAAAAAGGCCTTTAAAACACACGTGCTTTAAAGTTGCTAAGTAACGATACTTCAAGTATGACTTTTGAAACTGTCATCTGAGGCTGAAATAAAAAATCCTCTTAGGTCGCTTTCTGTAAATGCAGAACATTTCTTTGGCTTGTACCTATCCTTTGGTTGAAGCTTTTACAAACGCGCGTAATTTAGGGTATGCTTCCAAATCTGTTCCACTTTTTAGTCCCAGCAATAAGTGAAGTTTTGAATGAATGCACCAAAAGATAGAATATTTAAATACCTTTGACATTTCCTTCATATATGCCAGCATTATCGATGCATTTAAGACTTTATTCGTAAGTAACTTCCTATTCATCCATGGAAATAACTTTTCATATGCTTGATAATAGGCTTTACTAGATTGAGATTTTACACCTACCAACGTTTGTTTAGATTTTACAACAAGCGATTTAATGGACGGTGTATTATCGTTTTCAACGGAAATCGTTTTATTCACAAAGACGACGATTTTTATAAGCAAACGTCAAGTGACATTTCCATGGCAATCGTGAAATTACGAACACCCAGCCCACTTAATTAGACATGTATTCGAGTATAACGTCAATATGATTTCATTGAATTTCCTATTTTTAAATTATATTGCAGGTATAATAAAAAATACTATAAGATACACGTGTATAATTGTTCTTTAAAGCACTTGCAACGTTAAAGGCACTCCGCTTTGCGTCGTGCCTTTAAACTCGTTGCGCGTGCTTTAAAGACTTGATTATACACTTGTATCTTAATATACTATTTCTAGTAATTTTCCGTTTTTTAAAACCGTAGAAATGAGTCTATTATTTTTGTTACTAGATTCTAGTGACATTTTCAGTGTAAATCAGGTTTTTAAATCTGTCTTCCTAGTTAAAAAACAGAGTATACTAAACCTCTCGCCAGGAAAGATTGCCGGTCATAGAACACTTGATCCTGGCCTACAATCTATGTTTTTCTAAAGATGTGAGCGGCTTCCGGGATAGTATCGTGTCAATGTTGACCAAAAAGACTTTTCGCTCACATTGGCACGACCCTATTCCGGAAGTCGCTCGCATCTTAAGAAGAACATAGATTGTAAATCGACACAAGGTGTGCTGTGACCGGCAATCTTTCCTGGCGAGAGTTATAGTTAATAATGTCCACATATTAACCACTTTGAACTACTGCCGAGAAAGCCTACTTTACAAGTGAAAAAAAGGTTAATAATCATGTCATCAGACGCTAGTAGTGAAAAATAGTACATTATATACCAAGGTAGAGAAGTCCAGTATTATTGCCTGAGCTCCAAGTCTTCTACGGCAGCCACCATTATCGCGCATCTACAGGAAATGTTTTCTCGACTTGGAATACCGAATTCGATACGAGCTGACTACGGGCTCCAGTTCGCAAGTAAGGAGGTTCACTTGTTTTGTGAGGGAAGCAATATTGAGATTATTCACACAACACCTTATTGGCCGCAGGCCAATGGGGAAGTGGAAAATCTAAACAGATCAATCTTAAAACGGTTGAAAATAAGCCACACTGCTGGAAAAGACTACAAATCTGAACTGCAGGAATTTACTTTGATGTATAATACGACACCGCATAGTACAACAAGTAATTAATCTCCGTCGGAGCTTCTCTACGGCAGAAATATTAGAGACAAAATCCCAACTATCTACGATTTATACAGTGAGCAGACGGACGAAGAAGCCTATGATCGAGACCTGCTAAATAAACAAAAAGGAAAGGACCGGGAAGACCAGACAAGGGGCGCGCGAGAAATTGACATAAATGTTGGAGACGTAGTTTTAGTCAAGAATGTCGTCGTTCCCCATAAAGGGGATTCCGAATTTTAGCAAGGACACTTATAAAGTTCAACAACGGTCTGGAAATGAGTTGGTTATTGTGGGAGCAGGGCGCGTTATTCGACGACACGTCAGCCACGTCAAGAAAATCGGGGATACAGTTTTTCAACAGCCTGCCGCCGTATCACCTACCTCGAATCCGGAGACGTCCAACAAATCGAAACGTTTACAGGATTTGGAGGACGGTTCGACTAACACAGAAGGTAGCACGTCCCTCGAGCCATCTGAGACCCTGAAGGTAGTAAATCCACTCAGATTGTTAAGAAAGGGAGGAATGTGGAGACCCGCAGTGGATGCAGATCGGGACAAGAAAGAGGAGTAGGCTTATGTCATGATGAGATGTTGAACTGTCTAGGAATTAGATGTGTTTGTAAAAGTGGAAATAAAAGTGTATTTCAAATAGTAGTCTTTCACTGGGTTATTATTACACTAGGTAGTTAATCGCCATGTGTCATGACACGACTGAATTCACATAACTAGTCCATGGGCCAGTCGACATGACGGTATAGTTTGGGGGTACCAATTTTCCTTTTTACAGTGGTTATACAGGTTTATTAGGATGCCAAAAAATCATGATTGCCATCTCAAAGCGGTAGCTAATAGAAATGGCGGCCAATCAAAGATGGTGGATGTAGAGTTTTATAAAGTAAACTATATCTCTGGAATTATTGATCCAATTTCATTAATCTTTTTAATGGAAGCTATATGTGCTATAAATATTGTTATTAGTACTTTTTCGATAAAATCAACTGTTAATAAGTAATTTTAAAAAAATGTTTTTTTTTAATTGTTTCCCGAATGTTCTTTACTGCCTGTATTAATACACAATGAATGGTAAAATTATGCGCATATTATGCAGAATATTAGTGAAAAATATGCAAACAGTTTTGATATATATGCACACGTATACAAAATTATATATGTTGCATAATTTCTAATAAAAAAGGAATTACGATAAACACTAGCAATAAGATGTTTCTCTAAGTTTTCTGCACGAAATGATTGTCTCCTGTCGCTAAGAATTAATTTATAAGCACTAAGCAGAGAAACTATACTCTACATCAACTAAAGTAATAGGTGCATTAGAAAAGGACAAACTATTGGGTGCAATTTCCAAACCTTCCACAATATCACCCATCATCACCGTAGAGAAAGAGAAAGATAAAATAGTTTGGAAATGATGAAATTAAACATCAATTAAATCAATAAATCTTCCTTTCGGCTTTTGCAGTATGTCCGTTATAAAAATCCGAAAAAATGTATTAAAAATTGAAATTAAAATCGATTAAATCTAACAAAAATTTAAATACATCTTAAAATATGCAATTCTATCATGTAAATGCAAAGGATATCAAAATATGCAAGATACGCAAAAATAAATTCGGTTTAATAAATATTGCAAACCGAAGATACACAAAATCTCATATAAGACAACCAAAAGTAAACGATTATTCACAGCTTTAGCTGATCAAACAATTGAATTAAAATTAAAATAATTACTAAATACAAAAATCATTGTAGTAACGTCTATAGATATATTGTAGCTGAAGAGCCATGATCAAATAACAAATGATGATGAAATTGGTATGTGCGGATTATGTTTCTAAACCTTCACTTCTCTACTTTAATTGAACTTGTATCCCAATTTGGACGACACTGGGTTCGTTGTAATTACAGATGTGAAAAAACTCCCTTTAACGAGTACTGGGAAAACCTTAAAGAAAGGCTTCAGATAAGCGACGCCTGTTCGATAAACACAGCACTTCCACTAACTTCTTCGTAAAACGTGACACACGTTTCCGCTTAACGGTAAACAAGAACTTTACAACTGACAAGACTGACTTAGATTATATAAAACAAAAAATACTTTGGAAAATTGTACGTCAAAATCAAAGAGATGCTATTCCGGAAGCAGCAAAAAGATGAAAGATAACCCTAAGTTTGGCTTCCATATCACCTCACGTAGAATTACCAAGCTGGCTCTTGACAACTACCATTACGTAATGCTAATAACTTAAAGTGTACAAGCGCATGCAAACTGCCAACTTGTGGATACGTCACTGAAGAAAAGGAAGAAGGAGCAGATTTTAGTGTATATGAAACTTTTGAAAGTAACGATGGGGTTAATTTAGTTTTCATTAAATGTTAAGAGTTAAAAAAAATTCCGTTCGTTTACTTCATGCATTAGTTACAAATTGTTGATTTTATCGGAAATGTAGTTATGACAATATTGTAGCACACACAAAAGCTTTCATTTAAGAAAATGATGAAGTCGGACCAATAGTTCTAAAGATAGGTACAGTTAATTTTATAAAACTCAACATCCACCATCTTGGATTGGCCGCCATTTCTATTAGCTACCACTTTGAGATGGCAATTATCGATTTTTTACATCCTAATGGCCCTAATGCATGTGTCTAACCGTGGTAAAAAGGAAAATTGGTACCCCCAAATTATACCATTTCCTTAAATTTAGCCAGTTGGCCCATAGACTAAACATGTTAAAGGATCACGGACTGTATTTTATTTTACCTTTATGAAATTGTTCCACAGTTAATGTACCTACCAATTTCTGAAGTAAATTAATTAAAACAAACAGATTTACTCGGTAAAATACAAACCTCTTGTGCAATTGTAAGTGAGAAAATTTGGGTTGTTTAGATAATGAAAATCTGTTGCCTAGCAATTAATAAAAATGTGACACCGAAGGTGGAGCATTTTTAGGTTGACAGATTTTCGAGTTAAACTGCTAAAAGGATACCGATTTGAATTGCAGCAACCCAAATTTACTCAGTTTAAATACAAACCTCAAGTAGGGTGACCAGGAATATTAGATATTAAAAGAGTAGGTACAACGAACAGGTGTTGCAATAATCGATCGGGTGTGACGTAGGGTTAGTTCTCAGGCTCTTCAAATGGTGATAGAAGAGTAATTACACTCACCGCTACTGAAAACACACCTTCAAAATTACTAAAAATAAAAAAAATGCATATACCACGTACGCATATCGCAAGGCATAAAGTAAACACAAAGTAAATTTACTTTTTTAAGTTAAGACAGCGAAGTTTGTACCACAAAATTACAGAAGCAAGTGCAGTGCAATATGAAAATTCACGTTTCAGGGACGTCATAGCTCACTTCACACAATAAGACCTACACAGAACAGAAACATAAATGGCGCTAAATTGTCACTGATTACAGCGTTTCCCGTGGTTGTACGGAGAACTATTTATCGCAGACTCAAATATTTTTTTGCAAAACCTGTAATTTTGCTCGTTACAGGAAATATTTTTACCGTCAATTTTATACGTACATTATGTTATCAAAAATCTCTAAACCTTCCCCATATAGAACTATATGGGGAAGGTTTAGAGATTTTTGATAACATAATATATTTCAACCCCCATTTCGAGGAACGATGGATCCAACTCAAAATTTATACGTACACATGGTTTTACACATGTCAATTTTGACTTTTGAAAGATTTAAAATAGGAACAAGTTATGTGACCGTAAAAAGTGTTGTGTGGCGGATTGTAACGATAAAATATCAAAAAGGCATCGTTTCCCATATTTTGAAACAGATTGTTTTGTGCTCGAAACGCGAAGAGGGTTGAAATGTGCTGTTATTTCTCTCCTATTTATGCAAGGTATTGAATTTATAAATTACCAACGGTATAGGCGCAAAAGGGTGTAGACCAGGGTGTAGACTTAAGTTTTATATTTATATAGACGTAGATACTTATATTGTAATTCCTTTTAGATAATGAATAAAAAATACGTTTTAGATAATTCAACAACTTCCACCCTCGCTTCTCAAGTAACAAGTAAGCACCAGGATCAAGTTAACATTTGTTGTCAAAAACTTGTGTGACAATTTGCTGAAACGGTTTTATTACCTCTTGGAACAAAAAATTTAGTTCTAAAGATATTTTTTAACAAAAATATGTAGTCCAAACAGCAATTAAAACCAAATATTTCGTACGACAAATCGTTATGTAAGGATCTTTCTGCATAGTGTCAACATCTACAAAGCGTAAGTTCCACTCACTTCTGAGTTTTATATGTAATTTGTAAACATGTAATTTAAGTTCTCTGATGTGTTAAATAATGTAATGTGATTGTATCTAAATACACTTTAATTTAACAACTGTGTATTCTTTATCGATATTTATGAATTGGATCGAATTGGGGAAATTACTTCATGGCTGCTCTGATTTTGATACTTTAGTTCACAGTACACCCACCAGGGTCCGCCAAAATACCATACAAATTTGTAACATTGCTGTTTCTATTCTGAGAAGGCCGTATTCTGTGGCTCACTTAACGGCTAAACAGCTAACTGGTAGCGTAGGGTCACCGAATTCCCCCGTAAAGTGCTGAACGTGCATTCGGTGCGCAAGGACGAGTTACGACTCTTACGAGGCAAATGACTGTGTTATTTTTTATTTAATTTAATTTTAGTAAAGGCGAACCAAAGCGTTGGTTGTTGTTTCCCTTTTGCGAAATAGAGAACATTTTTTCCATTTAATCATTGAATAATAAATCTGAATTATTATTCAATGATTTAATTAAAAAGTAAGAGTACACCGAACAAGTCAGAAAAGAGAACATTACTCTTAAAAAGAGTACGTCTGGTCACCTTACCTCAAGTGTAATTCGGCAGGAAAATTTAACGAACAAGAAATTCACCAAACTAATCAATTATTGACAGACGTCAAACTAGTCATATGGGAAAGGATAATGCGATAATTGGTTCGAAAATGAATAAGTGAAAAAACCACTATACTGCATTCATTGTAATGCTACGTTTACACGCGCGGCAAGCAGCTTGGCAAGCATCTCGATCTCGGTAACCTGCTCGGCGAATCCCCGCGTACAAAGCAAGCTGTTTACACACATCTGAGCACAACTCAGAACAAGCTCACAACCAAACATGGCGGACGTAGATGTTATTGCAGCTGTTCCGTTCGAAGCGTGTAAACGTAGCATTAGAAGGTAGTAGATGGCGCCGTGCTTGAAGATAAGCACACACAGGTAAAATATAAAACGGCACCAAATTATTGTAAAGCCCGCTTGACATGGAGCAATAAAAATTGCAATTGCATGCAAGTTGCAAGAAAAATTGCGAAAGGCATGCGCAGTTCAAAGCCAGCTGATCAATTGCTGCAAGAGACTTGCATGCAATTTTTATAGGACCGGTGCTATTTTTCTTGCATGAATCGTGCAATTCTAGGGATAAATCTAGTTGTTTTTGTGTCACCAACCTAGTAAAATACAGCGGCGGCAACTATGATGCTGAGAGACGCACTCATTACTTGTTTTGATTAATCTTATTTATTCTTGTAATTTTCATGTTTCTTCAAGCAATCAAAATTTAATTTTCATTTGAGGTTAACTACTTTGTTGACAAATCCATATGTTTCTTCTGTTGGCAGACATGTGGCAATTGAAATAGAATTGCACCATGTCAAACACCAATGCATGCAAGGATTTGACCTTGCAATTTCTTTCTGCAAGTTCTTGCGCGTTGTATTGCTCCATGTCAAGCGGCCTTAAAGTAGAAATATCGACTACTGCAAACAGAAATAAATCTTTGATATTAACAGCTAATGACACTTCAAGAGTTTAGTTGGCAATAGAAACTACCATCAGCTGGCAAAATTCGCTACTAGTTTTATGTTTCAGCGTAATACTGACTCGAGTTTTAACCAATCACACTGAAGGTCAAAGCTTCTCTACACTTTTTCACAGCCGTCTGTAATTACACTTGCAGGTGTGTTCCACTGACTCCCTGTACTGCGCAAACGCAAGCGCGCTAAAATTTGAATTTGTGTACAGCTGTCAAGTGTAAGGGGTAAATCTTAGACTATTCTTTCCTTCTCTAAGGGGTAAATAATATACACATAACCTGCAAACGTTATAATTGAAGATAATTTAGCTTACCTGCTTACCTATTATATGTAGTAGGTATATGAAAATGCCATGTTATCAAGATGAATTTTGTTGTTATCTACATTTGGAGTGCATGGTCATAGAGTATGCCAAAGGCGATATTAGGAAACTGCTTCAGTAAGTACTGTAATAGTTAACTAGAAAGAGCTAATGATATTTACTTACAGCAATAACGTTACAGACCAACATTGACCTATGGTAAAGAGAGAGTCTGGTGCTGAACGAATCACAAAAAACCAGACTACAAGGATCATGACTGATAGCTAAAGTAGAGATTTGCTTTCAAGTTGGCGCTATAATGTATTTAACTGGAATTCACAGTAGTGACCGAAGGCTTTAATTCGAGAAAAAGAACATATTCTTTCCGAAAATACAGCGACATTTGGTTTGTAATATGGAAGTCAGCAGGAACTGGTATTATAAACAAAACAAACGTGGCACGTTAAAGCAAATTCAAATTTTAGCGCGCTTGCGTTTGCGCAGTACAGGGAGTCAGTGTGGAACACATCTGCAAGTCTGTAATTACAAGCCGTGCTGAGAATTATGGCAACACTGCATGGTAGGCCGATTTCCTAATTCAACTTGACAGATTTTGGGTGTATTTTTGTGTTTTGGGTGTAATATTCCAATTTACCTGTTTTAACAGAGCGAGATTGCGACAATTTGTGTTACTCTCTACGGAATGAACAGAAATTATTGTTCAGGTAAGTTGCTAAACGAAATATATCGATTTGTTGTCATAACCTCTAAAGCAGGCTACTCCTTGCTGGACCCTTTACAAGCACTTGTATTGGTTCAAAGTACCTGTACAAGCTCAAATATGACCAACACACGACGTGGTACGTATACGGTAAGTGTTTATCGTGAAAGAATACAATTATTATTTTATTAGTTTGTATTTCAGGTATTCTAGCACGGACATGTCAAATCGATTTTCTGAAGGAACCTTTCAACTTATTCCCAAGAGTTTATGGTACGGGAATTTGAAGTCTACGGGGCTCCCCTCTTTAAAAGCTTCGTACCTAGATCCACTGGAGTATCGACTGGCTTAAAGTCTGCCATTCCGAATCACACCTGGACATTGATAAAACCTCGCTGATGCACAGCGATTTACTGTCCTTTTACCGAAATTAAGTGCTCAAGCGTGTGCTTCGCCTCGACCTCTTTCGACAGAAGTTCACCAATTTCGGAGATCTGGATGGAAAACACATTATGATGCAGTTACCAAGTACAGGCGGTAAGTGCATCGGTCTAAACATTTTGAGGGGGAAAGTTGGATTTTGTTGAAATGTCTCAGGTTAGGTGTCCCGAATAACGTACTAAAAGTCCAGACCCCCAACTGCGCCGCTCATCAAGCTGTGGCACGTTTTTGTCCCCCGAAATCAGTTTTTCGTTAATATCTCGAAATGTAGCAGGCTTAGAGAAAACCTTTTGAAACAAAAAATGTTCCTCGTAAAATTTCCTACACGATAGCTTACTTGCAAGTTAGTCCAGGCCTAACCGATAGCCTACAGCGTTCTTTTGAGTAGTCTAATATTGAGTTCTTTGATGATTTTTTGTACTTATGGTTGTATGGACGCCTAAATTGATGTAAGACATACTTCTCACATATTGTACCATAGGATAGCCGATTTGAACGTTAGTTTAAGAAATTTCATCAACATTCTGTTTCCTCTCCATTTTTGCACCTGATGAAAGCATCGGTAGGCGTGGAGACTGAATGCAGCGGCAGTAGGCGGCAAAGATGCTAGGTAGACTGAATTTTTCATCTCACTTGCAAGGAAACTGACGTATCGGTAGTCCGTGATAGACTTTTGAGTTGCCTTAGCGCCATATAATCGTAATGCATACGAGCACGTGGCGATCGTATTTTCTTCCTTTGTACTTGCTCGGTTGTTGAACACTGACACGACATTCTGCATCCTTTGCCTTTACGATACAATGCTGACGTAGTGTCGCATCCGGTTACCTACTGCGTGTCCGAATAAAATAATATTTTGGAGTTGGGGTCTCTCCCTCAGAACATCTTCCACGGAGTACAGAGACGCGGGTTTTATCCCTTTTCCGGACTTCATGAATGGAATTGAAGCGGCGCATGATGCAGGTGTACCAACCAATATACACAGCAAGTCTATATCTTCACCGACAACTACTGCTGTTTTTTCCTTCTTTTCGGCAATTTTGATCGCAGTACTACATATTAATACGTCATCAACGGCTTGGATAGCTGTGTGTCCTTTTCCATTGAAGATGTCCATTAACATCTGCGCGAGTCTCTGCTTAATTGCGTTTCTCCTCATGAATTGGGTTTGTGTAATAGTGAGTGACCACTGTTGATTCGTCAAAAATTGCTTCAACAGAGGCGTATGTTCTGCACCGGCGATTTTGCTCGACGCTTTTCGTACTTAGTCTAGTGTCATCATAACCATCAAAGACAAGGAAGCAAATTTGGCCATAGTGACGCTCAACGTACTTCTGACATGTTACCTTGTATGTCTCACCACGCTCCCACAGAATTTTACGAAGCAGGAAGCCAGCATCAATAACGTAAGTTGACTTAGTTTTATCATATTGAGTCAAATCACTCTCTGGAAAGATTTTATAGAGTGTAGATTTGACACATTTTCGCATCCCTTTCTCGTCAAACAGCGCCAAGGGGTATGGTGCCAATTCATACTCCAGGTATTTTTTCAGTTGAGCGTCACTTTTCTTCAAAATTGAAATCCTTTTAAACAGTATTAACGGATCCACCAGACGGTTTTCATCGCGCACTTTCATTGTGTTGAGAGCTTTCATGGTGATCACGCAGTCGCTTCTTCTCTTTTTAACGGCTGAAAATTTCATTCCATGAAAATGAAATAGTGTACACTGCAGGTAGACTGACATATGACCCTGTTCTCGGTCTATTCACTGCAGGAAATTCGCGAAAAACTCGATATTAGACTACTCAAATGAACGCTGTAGGCTAACGGTTAGAGGCCTAGGCTAACTTGCAAATAAGCTATCGTGTAGGAAATTTTACGAGGAACATTTTTTGTTTCAAAAGTTTTTCTCTAAGCCTGCTACATTTCGAGATATTAACGAAAAACTGATTTCAGGGGGCAAAAACGTGCCACAGCTCGATGAGCGGCGCAGTTGGGGGTCTGGACTTTTAGTACCTTATTCGGGACACCTAACCTGAGACATTTCAACAAAGTCCAGCTTTCCCCCCCAAAATGTTCAGATTGACGTTTTTTGGGTACTTATCGCCTGTGCATATCGGCCCACCGATTGACTTTCGAACAACGTTGCCAAACTTCTCAGCATGGCTTGTAACTATAGACGGCTGTGGCTTTTTACCGCTACCTTCTTAAAATGAATAGTGCATCTCGCTGGAAAAGCTGCAGGGTAACTTGCCGCTGTCAAAGTGACAATTGCACTGCGGCTTATGCGATTTTTTATACATAACTTGAATTGTTAATAGAAAAAATAGTATGACACTTTGTTTCATAACGCGCGGTTTGTTACAATTTATCGTAACGATCGAATCGTTACGATTTATCGTTGCGTGTGAACAGAGGATTGTAGCGATTTATTGGAATTGGATTGGATGGTTGATGGCGGCCGGCTTCAATTTCTGCGAATCGTAGCGATAAATTGGAACGTGTAAACAGGGGCGGACTGGGCCGGGTGCGTATTGGCATTCTGTACTATTATTCAGAGCAGCTCTGGTCTGATTCGCAGTATACTATGGCTTCACGTTATGCGCAATTTGATAATACATTATATACTGCGATTCAGAGCGCCGATATGGTTTAGTGCTCGGTGTCGTGTTTGTTTTATTACTAAAATCAGCTAAGCACTTGTCGCACCAAACACTGTTAATATCTTCACCCGCTTTTTAAAATTTCGCTTTAAATCCATGTTCTACTAGTTCCAAATATATACGATCATTGAAAACTTATTCTCGTGGCACATTTCAACCAATGCCTCTTTATAGATCATTTTAGTGCAGTTTGAGAACCTTGATTACACACAAACAACAAAAAATATGCTTTTTTCTTGCAAAGGGAACAATAAAAACACACTTTTTGTAAGTGTATGATGTGTTTTATAGAAACCCATTATATACAGTGTTTCAGAACTCTAAACCATATCGGTGCTCTGAATCTCAGTATATAATGTATTATCAAATTGCGTATAATGTGAAGCCATAGTATACTGCGAATCAGACCAGAGCTGCTCTGAATAATAGTACAGAATGCCAATACGCGGGCCGGGTGGCGATTGCCACCTGGCCTGTAGGTCATATTGGCCCGTTGAAAATTTAAAGTATGTGCTGTATTTAGTTTCTTACACTATTAATGAATTATTAACACGTTTCTCTCATTGTGGTTGATGTTAGGTTGTTCATTAAAAAATTCTGTTTTTATTGAAGTGTTTTACAATAAATTTATCATTTTCTGTCGTATTTTGAAAGTGCTGAAACACAATTATAGGCGACTGGTTTGTATATTTTGTTACATTATCAGCTGCAATTAAAAAAAAACTACACTAATACTTTAATAATAATAATAATGACATTTATTGAGCACACACCATACAAAGAACAGATATTATACATTACATTACATAATGGGTGGCTCAATAGGGCGAAGTTCAGACTGGAATAAACCGTGTTATTCCGTCTGCTCTACCACTCAACCCCCTTCATATGAAATTAACAAGAGACAAAGACAAAAAAAACCTAGCAAGAAAAAACTATATGATAATAAAAACCATTCAGTATGAAGGCACAAATGTAAACCTAAAAAAAATGTAAAAAAAAATAAATTATAGCAATAATGATGTTAACGATGGAACTTAATGCTGTCTTGCAAGGAGTATGAGGCGCAAGCGTTTTTTAAAAAGACTTTTCGATAAATGTTTTAAATGAGATGGTAATTCATTATACGTCTTTGCAATATTGTAACTGAAGGAGCGTTTAAATAGTGACGTTTTGTGAGTAGGTATAGTTATAAAAAACCGATCTCTAACATTGACATTATGGACGTCAGCTCTGCATGTTACCTTTTCAAATAAATATGACGGAGTTTTGGTTTGAAGTATGCCATGGAACAAACAGGCAAAATGTAATATTCTTCAATGGCCCGGTAACCTATGCAATTCCACCTGGCCCGTAAGTACCCAGTCCGCCCCTGCGTGTAAACAATAGGCGCTTTCTTTCGGTGATCCAAACGCGTTTGGATTGTCAAATCACGTTCTTTCGAAGTGTGGTCTTATAATCATGATTGCTAAAATCGTGAACAAACTGAACATAAAAGTTTTATGATCACGAATTCCTAACCTATAAATGCAAGGATATTTTTGCTCAAATGTTAGGTTAGTCAATTTTCGTAACTGAAGAGGAGCATAATCGTGCAAGTACTTCCACTTGTATTTCAATTATTTTCATAATCCAAACAAAAAATACCTAATTCGAATGCAAATGTCTACTTCGTAAACTTAACCATACTTTGATTTAAATTCGCGCGTTCTTTCGTAAAACGTGATCCTACGAATCCCGATCTCGAAATCATGATTGCGAAGTAGCCGAAAGAAATCGCCTTTAGCGATTTATCGCTACGATTTGTGACTAATGTTGCCGAAGTGAACCATTTTTGTATCCATTTGGGCTACTTGGACTGTCTCTAGCGCACACGTTTTACATTTGGCGAGTGGCGATCAAGTTTGGCCACCCAAAAAAAATATTTAGCGACACATGGCTACTCATAAATCATAATCGAGATTAAGATTCTATTATAAGCAATAAAATGCGAGTATAATTTATATTAGTGGACAGAACCAAAAGACAAGATGAAAAGTAAAAAAATAAAAACTATTAAACCGTGATCGACAATGAGATTGGAACAAGGAATCGTTACATGTAAACCGTACGCACTCTTTCGATTTATTGAACGATAAATTGGACAATCTACGATTTATCGAAGCCAAGATCGTAGCGTCTAAACCGCGCTTTAGACACCCCATCGCACGACGCACGGATCGCACCACTTATGAAACTTTTTACGCGATCGGTCATTTCTGACTATTTACCATATGTTTCCATGACAGTATGTGGAATTGGAACCGTTGAGTGAAGGATTTATTACTCAATGTTACAACGACGTCAAAATTACCGATCTAAAAACAGAACAGCAAGAGTTATTTACATAATAAGTCATGAAAGTAGTCGTTTACATGACGCGGAGGCTTACTGAAAAGTATGAGGACGCGAGTATCTCTTTAATGCCTCCAAGTCAGGTGGACTCACTTTCATGACGTACCTATTATTTATGTATAAAATTTTACCTGAAACCGCAACATGTAGATAACTTTTTAAAATTGAATTCTTCATGTGTGAAATTTTGATCCCTAATCACGCATGCTAAAGTCACTTTATTTAATTGTTTCCATAGAGATTTCAAAATAATTAAAACAATCAGTGTCATTTTTAATGCAGTTTGCAGTTTATGCTTTGTACTTTTCAACTATACAGTCTTTATAAGTTACAAAAGCAGGTATCAGTGAAGAAAAGTACCTACGCGAGACGTTATAATGTAGCCGAAGCTGCGGTCGCCGTAGTGCAATATTCACTCCCCACAAAGTCAAGAAAGAGGTACGAAAAGGCGTACAAACCTTTTAATGACTGGCTAAAGGAATAATTATTTCCACACATATTCCATTAATTGTTAGTAATTGAAAAACCATTATCCTTTATACGTAGGTATATTAATATTTAAAAATATCCACAGTCTGCATTATAATTATCCAATCGTTGATTGAATAACTTATTCAATGAACGATCTAATTGTTATTTTGCATGTACTAGGACTGTAATGGGAGTCAGGCATAGTATTTTACATTATTAGCCAGGTAAGTGAGTTTTTACTGGCGATAGGAGAAGTTGACTAGCGAGCCGTTAGGCGAGTTTGTCATCTCCTAGAGCCAGTAAAAACTATTACCTTGCGTATAATGTACAATATTTTATTTGTTACTCATTTGTAAACAATATTAAACGTAAATAATTAGTTCTTAAATTGATCTTGAAGAAATGTCTAAAATATCATGTTATCCATGTAACAGAGACTTCGCATTAATTCTGGCCAATGAAATTACTAGATTACTAACTTGTAAAATTTTTACAGGTCTGCTGTCAGTTTTACAGGTCTGCTGTCAGTTTTACAAGTCAGTAGCGTTTAAACATGACGTTTACCCGTTTGCGTTTTGTCTTGTTAATCAACGTTTACAACTGAGTAACAAATAATAGTTATTTACATATGAGTATGGTAAATCAAGGTTTACGTTAACGAGTGAGATGTTTACTGCCGAAGCGTAGCTGAGGCAGGAATTTCGAAACGAGTAACGTTAACTGATTTAACATACAAATAATGTAAAACATTTTATTTCATACTGCTCTATTTCTATTAAAATACCATTTTTATTAGAATGTTGTAGGTACACATTAAAATAAAAGCAAAAGTCGATCACTTGATTTGTTTGATCTGACAGTAGTTTGACAAATATCAGTATCAATCAATCAATCAAATATCACGTTTAGATGGATGTCAGTTGCGGTTGCTAGGCAAAATTTCCAGTCTGGTAAAAATTTTCAGTCTGGTAAAATACGATTTACCAGACTCAAATCAGTCTGGGAAAGCGGCGATTACTAGATAGTATGAAATAAAAAATATTACAGTACTTGTCAGGTAAAGTTCAACTTTCTAATGTCAAAATAGCCCTGAAATTTAGATTTTCTTGATGGTTTCAGGTAAAAATACTACCGACGCCTTTTTAAAAACAATCAGTTCAAAATCAACAGTCTTACATTACATTTGATCTTTGACATACCATTCGGCCACCGCCGAATACCTCGCTCATAATTTCAATCTTGACAAATAAACTGGTTACCTAGTGATGTACACCATACCACTTTGATCGTTTCGATTTATTCTGCTCATTAATTTCTTATGGGCGTATGCACCTTAAAAATTTAAGCTGAGCTTAGCTTAAAATCATTGGCCACCATTGTCCAAATATACGTTACATGGATATTAAGCTACACTTAAACTAAGCCCGCTTAAACTTTTTCGGTGCATACACTGTGAAGAACCCATCAATTCAATGCCTAAATCAAAACTGTAATTGTTGAACAAAATTCAGAAGTGTATGTAACTTTTGGTAAAACTTATTTTATTGTACACATAACCTTTGACACTCGCTTTGACATAACTTTTAATTTTTATGTACCCTATCGGAGGTTAAAAAACACCCTCCTAATATTTGCGATTTGGAACAAAAACGTCAGTTTATTTTTCATTGTTTTATTACAAACTGGCAAAATAATATACATTAGTAGTTTTCATTATAAAAAAAAGGTTGTCGTTACCTTAACCAGGCTACTCAGAAACCTGTACAAAACAAACGCATTAAAACATAATTTTTGTTACTCTTTTAAACAGGAAATATATTCTAAGAGCCCGTGACACAAACCATTACCATTCAAATAGCAACATAAAACATATACATGAACAAGTATTGGAGGTCCCCATATGTGAAACGCTCGGTCTGTCGAACCGCATTTAACCGGAAGGTAAAAAATTCAATTGTTTATTTGTATATTTCATAAGAAGTCATTACTTTTAAGAAAAGCAGGTCATATGTGGTACCAAATTAAAACTCTTGACGTCAGCTGCACAAATAACTCGGTCTGTCGGCAGGCAAATAGCCGGAAGTCCTTGACAGACCGACATTTAGTCTGCTAAAATGACCGTAGAAATTTATAACTAACTGAAGTCGGCTTCTAGCAGCAGATTAAATGTCGGTCTGTCAATGACTTCCGGCTATTTGCCTGCCGACAGACCGAGTTATTTGTGCAGCTGACGTCAAGAGCTTTAATTTGGTACCACATATGACCTGCTTTTCTTAAAAGTAATGACTTCTTATGAAATATACAAATAAACAATTGAATTTGTTTACCTTCCGGTTAAATGCGGTCCGACAGACCGAGCCTTTCGTATATGGCGACCTCCAATACTTGTTCATGTATACGTTTTATGCTGCTATTTGAATGGTAATGGTTTGCGTCGCGAGCTCTTAGACTAATACCTTTTCAGTCTCTCTTAATACAGAGCAATTAGACTTTGACAATGCGACACTTATAAACCAAATTTCCTTCATTCAATAAAGAACATATTGCAGCTAGTGGTAATTGTATGGATGTATTATGATCTTCATAAGCTTCCACATCATTCTCAATAAGATTACTACACTTTCGTTTTATGTACAACCTCTGATTAAATTCAGAATTATCACAAATATCTATTTCATACATATAATTCTTGCTCTCTTCTGGAGGACCTACATACTGCATAGACCAATAAAAATTCTTTTCGTCATATTTAAAAATCAATTTAAATAATGCATTATGCGCTTGCATTAAAAAGCAATCTCCATCACAATAGTCAACATCCTCTTGGAAAGGGAATGTAACATAACCAACATCCAAAATACCATCTTCGTGATGGTTTCTGGCATGTTCCATTACATCGGATAATCTTCCCTTCCACTTGCAATCATCGTACTGCTCAAAGGGGCAAAGATAAGGTCCATATTTGCAGGTGCTTTCGTGCGCTTTAATTTCTTTCCCAGATGATACAAATGGGCAATCAAAGTCACTGTACTTACAACTATAATTTATGAAGCTGGTCATTTTCTCCAAGCTAAAATTACGTGTATCAAGTATTCCTTCGCGGCAAGTGGGACAGTTTTTCACTTGTGTTTTACATGTCCCACAGATACTATGTCCAGCAATGCATTGGTGAATCGGGGGTACCATGTATTCATGACAAACAGGACACTCGAGTTCAAAAAGAAGGCTATGGTCAACATCGGGAGAATTGATTTTGGTAGTAATTTTAACACCTGAGCAATCAGTTGAATCTGTAGCTACTTGTTCATTTGGCGTAATGGAAATGCTACAAAGCATAGAACCTGGATCACCCAATGCTTTTCTAATCTCATCAGATTTTACGCAAACTGCAGTGTTCTTGTCTAAGCACATAGAACAATCAGATTCCACAACTTTCTTGGAAAGTGTCACATTTTCAATTGAATTCGATTTCTTTAATTCGACCTGGTATAAGTATTGTTTTGCTGCTTTTTTATTACCGATATAACGTACGGAACACCAAAAAGCTTTTTCCTTCGAATCACATTTTGCATGAATAAGGAACGTTTCATTTCTATGAAGTAACATGTAATTGTCTTCGTACATGTTTACCAAGTCCACCTCAAAAACCGGTGATTGTAAAGCAAGTACTTTATGGTGCTCTTCGTAATGAGAGAATAGCTCATTCGATGGTCCTTGCCATGGACAAGACGCTAATGGAATAAAAGGACAAAAATATTGTTTAAATGAACACGACGCTTCATGATTTTCCATATTAACTGCCAAGACGTTGTCCAAACAACCATAGGGATTGTAACGACAAGGGAAGTATAAATATTGCGCTATGATTTCATAGGTTGTATCCCGTATTGGGTTCTGTTCGCTTAGCACAGGACATCGACCACAGGCTGTTCCCTCTTGACCTGGATAGATATAAACCGGCAGCTGTGATAAATACTCCTTGCAGAGGGAACATCGCAGCTTCTCCAGCACTTCATTTGCGATAGACAACTTAGACATATTTGGAAATCTGAAATAAGAAGCAGTATTAGAATTTATGCAATGATACTTTGTACTAACTGGTTAATGCATAGGGGAGGTGTCAATGACAATGCCATTAGAGAACAACTTTGAAGATGTACTAATAATACATGCAACTTTTTTGACAATGATAGGTAAGGAATGGGTAAGGGCATTCAATAAATGTTCTGGTCAGATTATGTTTGGCATTTGTCAAAAAAAAATGTATGGTTTTTCTAAAGCCGGGTTTATGGCTTTTCCAAAGCCTGGTTCATGGTTTTTCCAATGCCTGGTTCATGGCTTTCCATTTGTCCATCTCGGTTGACCGTGACCCATTAGCCAATAACTAAATACTAAATTATCAATTCATCAAATTAACTTATTGTTAAATAGCGAACTGATCAATGGAGACAGGTGACGGATATCTATGACCCAGGCTTTTACAGTGCAAAAAAAACTATTTTTTCTACTCATATTAAATAATATGTAGAATACTCTCGAGAATACTGATGGGTTTTATAATTGAGAAAGGTATCTATTGTTCAATATGTTTTCATTATTCAACTGTTGTCAGCCAATCGTATTCCGAGTTTGTCATTTCATTACTCTTCAGGTCATATTATGTAGGGTTGCCTTGGAAACATGTATTTAACAAAAATCAGGATCTCGGATCGCGATAAATTCAGTTGTCAAACATTAATGTCAATCAAACAAATTACGAGAAATCAGTTTTGTGAAAATGGACAGTAGCACAGCCGTCTATAATTAAAAGCCGTGCTGAGAATTGTGGCAACACTGCATGGTAGGCCGATTTCTTAATTCAACTTGACAGATTTTGGGTGTATTTTATATGTGTTTTGGGTGTAATATTCCAATTTACCTGTTTTAACAGAGCGAGATTGCGACAATTTGTGTTACTCTCTACGGAATGAACAGAAATTATTGTTCAGGTAAGTTGCTAAACGAAATATATCGATTTGTTGTCATAACCTCTAAAGCAGGCTACACCTTACTGGACCCTTTACAAGCACTTGTATTTGTTCAAAGTACCTGTACAAGCTCAAATATGACCTACACATAACCTGGTACGTAAGTACGGTAAAGGTTAACGTGAAAAAATACAATTAGTTTGTATTTCAGGTATTCTAGCACGGACATGTCAAATCGATTTTCTGAAGTGTAGTATTAGTCGGCTGTGTGGCGAGATCACTTGTCACTTGTCAAACTTTGTAAAATCAGACACACACACAAATATTGAATACCTACATACAAACAGACATTTATTACTTACAGACATACATTGTGTTCTTAAGTTTTAGTTGAAGTGTTCAGTTTACTTTGTTACATAAATAAATGTTAATTCGGTCTACCTCATATTCCCACATGAAGGAACCTTTCAACTTATTCCCAAGAGCTCATGGTACAGGAATTTGAAGTCTACGGGGCTCCCCTCTTTAAAAGCTTCGACCTAGACCCACTGGAGTAGTGACTGGCTTAAAGTCTGCCATTCCGGATCACACCTGGTCGTTGATAAAACCTCGCTGATGCCCAGCGATTTACTGTCCTTTTACCGAAATTAAGTGCTCAAGCGTGGGCTTCACCTCGACCTCTTTCGACAGAAGTTCACCAATTTCGGAGATCTCGATGGAAAACACATTATGATGCAGTTACCAATTTACAGCGTTCCGAATTTTAAAGTCAAATAAAAATGTTATTATTCATTTTTGTAAATAAATAATATATATGCACAATTGTAAGCTGCCTAAGTGTCTTTCTTCTATATTAAAACCGACAAGGCGAAACACAGGAGAGAGGAAAATGCCATTTTTCAAGAGCAACAAGACGCCATTAAAACTTATATCGGCCCACCGATTGACTTTCGAACAATGTTGCCAAACTTCTCAGCATGGCTTGTAATTATAGACGGCTGTGACAGTAGTGTAATCATGATGAGCAGTGACGACGATATAGTTCTAACTCCTCCGGATGTTGAAAAAACGGCAAACCAAATTACCCTTAATTTACTTCCTGAAAAATATCGCAAGAAATATGAAATGGTGTACAAAACGTTTATGGATTGGCGCAACACAAAATCGATAAGTTCGCTTTCAGAAAAATGTTGAGAAGCACCATTAGCATTCATAATAGTGTGAACATCGATAGCTATGCAAGATTGCGCGCCTTTTTAAAAAGAAAATCTGAAGGTTATCAACCCAAAAAATCAAAAACGTTCACTCCTGAGCAAATTAACACGTTTTTACGTCAAGCTCCGGAGAATGTATATCTAGCAACGAAAGTAAGAAATCAAAATCTGCTTGATTTTTACTGTTGTTTTAATTCCCATTTTTAAGGTTGCATTAATAGTACGGTAGAACTGAAAATTGTTCTATACAGTAATACAGTCCACATATTGTTTGGTAAAAAGTTACACCATTTTAAGCGTCGGGTTTGAATGGGAGGGGGGAGGAAAGTTGGTAAATTAGTAGTTTTTGGAGTTTTTCTTAAATATTTAGAAAACTATGGGGTTTGGCGAGAAAAGTACGATATCCAAAAATAATCTACAAGTACATTAAATTGCGAACAAAAATGGTCTTGTGTAAAATCTTGCTCAAGTGAACGATTCCAGAGTTACGGAGGGTGTAAAAGTAGACATTTTTCGCATCTTTTCGATTTTCTGGAAAAATTAAACCATCCTATACATTCACTGTTCAAGTTGGCTGCGCTTCTCCCCACTTCAGCAGCTACCAGGCAGAACATTCATTTAGAACGTACCATCAGGTGTAGCAGTGGCTGTATAAGAAGAAGAACCCGCTGAAGTGGGGATTGAAGATTGTCGAACACCTGAGAGGAATAACAACACATCCTGCAACTCCCCAGGAATTACTGTCCCTCATAGTGGAAGTCTCTTTAAAAAGTGGTCCCCATTGAGAAGGTGGTAAGGTTATCGTTCCTTCAAGGACTTATCAGTAATATACCACCGGTCCCTAAAGCGCAATTTGCTTTAACCGGTTTCAACAAAAAAAAATAGTTTCCTTAGTGATAATCTCATATTTTTTCCAAAAGAATCTAAAAAAAAAGATGAAAAATTTCTACTGTTACACCCTCCATAACCCTCCGGAACGGTTCAATTTAGCAAGATTGTATACAAGGCCATTTTTGTTCGCAATTTTAGATTATTTTTGTATACGGCACTTCGCACTAAACAACATAGTTTGCTAAATATTTAAGAACAACTAATCAGAATTACTAATTTTCCAACTTTACTCCCCTCTCCCAACCAAACCCGACGCTTAAAATAGTGTAAATTTCTACCAAATAATCTGTGGACTGTATAGAACAATTTGCAGTTGGAGGGAAACTTTTACTTTGGATGTTGAGGTTTGGGTCTAATTGCACTGTACTATAATGATTTTATGTTAAAGAAAAGTGAAGTTCTAAAGCAACTGTATGTTAAGTGCCTCGGTTTACTGCAAGCCGATCCACGACCAGATTTTAGGATTATTAAAAAAAGAAAAAAACTAATAACATTTTCTTATTTTTAATTATCGACCGTCTACGTACCTACAGGGTACCATGTAAAATCAAGCTTTGTAAGATTCTCTCTATTTCAGGAATTTTGTTTTATTTTCATTGAATGTGTTTTGAAATAATTTTTTGTCATTTTCAATAAATTAATTATGCGTTTATTCGAACCCTTTGTACGACCCTCATTATGTCAGATTTTTCTCTTCATATCCATAATTTGTTTCAGGTGTTGATAAACAAAAATTTGCTGAATAAATTATTTGGAATTTCGCAAGTTGATCGAGGCCACTGAGTCTCCCAAATTACTAATTTTAGTCAATATGAGGTTTTGTAGGTGATGTGAAGGAGTTCACCGCTTTCCATTGCACACAGTATTATTTACAATATTCTTTAATTTGAAACATCATTGAAGTAGCTCTTATCTCGAGGGGTGAAGTATGGTGTACAAGTGTGATGAAGTTCATATGAAGTTTTGGTGAAGTCCATGAAATATTGGTTCGTGAAGTATTGTTGAAGTTCGTGAAGTACTGACGAAGTCCGTGAAGTATTGATGAAGTCCGTGAAGTACTGATGAAGTCCATGAAGTATTGGTGAAGTTAGGGAAGTTTAAGTGAACTATTGGAAAAATGCATGAAGTTGTGGCGAAGTTTATAATCAAATCCCGTTAACAAAAATCGTACGGTAGTTCAATTCACGATTGTAACCACTATGTAAAATAAAATTAAATAAATTTCTGCGAAATAAAACTTACACAGGCGACAGACGCCCTGATGAGACAGCGACTCGTAAGTCGTAAGACGTACTGACTGATAGTCATTGCGTCGTATTTATGAGTACAAAGATCGTAAATTGTTTCCTTTTTAAAAATTTAATAAATCCTTTCCTTTATTACCATCAGGTTCAGGTAGCTAAATAACACTTCGATAACACGAGGTATATCAAAATAAAATCGACAGACGGAAAATTAGTCACGTGGATAGCGGCTTTTGTTTTCCTTAAAATTTCAGCACCCTCCACAACTTAGTACATCAGCCTCTCCCAAATCAAGTTCCTGGCCATTGTGTTATTTACGACTATAATGTCAATCCCGAGGTCAATACTATTCCACAAACAACACCATTTCTTGAAAATAATCCCCTAAAAATGCAACCTATTGGTCGGGTAATAAAGTTACAATACCATTTACAAAACCTACGCAATATTTTTCCGCTTATTTTGTTTGTTAAAATGAAATTTTTAAAAGAAGAATTGGACACCTTTATATCATATAAAAAGACAGATATAAGATATCCAATCTGTTAATAAACGTTATATTTTAACAGGACCCAGAACTATTTAGTATAACTGCATATAACAGAAATTTGATAAGAAAATCTTATAAAATCTTAACAAGTATAAATGGTGCACAACTCCTGTGCGAATAAAGATAAAGGGCAATTTTTTAAACCGAAATAGCTTAGTAGATGGTTTTGTTAGAAGGTAGTA